CATCTCAAAGGCGACCATGGTCTCTCTGACCCCACAAGTCTTCTGTGTAGCAAACACACAGACTTAAACAATTAACAGTAGCGTAAACAAACAATCCACTCAGACACACATAGTATCTACCTACGACAGGAAATGAACCAAACGGCAACGGGGTCTGGGCAAAAGAGCATCCGTAATAGATGAAAACGGAAACAGCCTTCCAACCTTTGAACATAATCACACACAATAATGAGGGCCTGGCTGGCCTACCTTTCAGAAGCCTTCCGTTTTCATTCATTCTGGTGGCGAAGAATTATCCTGTCACTCAGCGTCAGTTACAAACTCACACACTCTCTCAGCCGTGAAATTAGACTGTACTCACACCCTTTTCCCCTTCTCCACTTCCCACCCCAATCCACTTTTCTCTCCCCCCTCCCCCTCTCTCTCCCATCGCTTTTCCACCCCCTATCCGCTTCATTCTCCCCTCCCCACCCCTCTCTCTTTCTATCTCATTCTTTCCATCTGCCTATCAAGTTTTGCGTGAGTTTAAAAGTAAATGAAAAAAAAGACCCAGTAAAATGCTTTCAGTTTTGTTTTTGTTTTATTTTAACGGAAGAATGTACATTTATTTACCACTGGAAGCGACACATTTTTTTTGGTTACCACATGACTCTAGTGGTGGGGTTAGGAGTGCTTGAGACTTAGTTTTGTCTTTTCACTGCCGATTAAAAAAAAAAGTTATGGATCCCATTGATTGTGTAGCACAAAACCAGTGGTAGAGTCTTCACGATTAAGTATATCAAAGATACACTTACATGCATTCTCATTTGTGAGAGAAGTGATTGTGCGTATTTCCTACCCCTTTTAAGGCAAATTAGATCATTTAGGGAGTGGATTGTTTCCTTCCTGGATGGACGGCCATCCAGGAATGAGTAGGATACAGTTTCCCAGCAAAACAAAAACCGAGGTACTCGATAAATACAGACCTCTCCTCGAGGGAAACGAATTCGTGTCTTCTGGGTATAAATGCAGAGCTTATTAAATAATAGCAAAATGAGTGTAGGATCATAAGAATTCAACACTCATCTCCAATCTACCCCCTTCTCCTGTAACACACATGCACGCATACATACGCAAGCACACATGCACACATACGCATGCACACACATACGCACACACACAATCACTTTTACTATTTTCCAGTTTCATGTAAAAAGGACTAAGCGCAAATCTTTCTGTCAAAGAAAGCAAGAAGAATTTACTCACGACTGGAAGCGGCACACTGTTCAGTAGATACAGCATTGCTTTGGCAAAGTAGGAGGAGAAATAATGCGAACTCAACCGTCATCCCCCCTTCTCTCTCTCGCGCTCTCTCTCTCTCTCTCACTCTGTCTGTCTGTCTGTCTGTCTGTCTGTCTGTCTGTCTGTCTGTCTGTCTGTCT